AGCCTATGCCATACAATGAGAAAACTATTGTAACAGCCTTTTTTATTCTGCAATACAAGATAATTAATATTTAAATGCATTAATGAAATAAGTTCTTAGTGGCTGGGTCACAAATCTTTGGTGTTTATTCCACTAACAAAATCACTTACTGCTCCTAATGATGCCTCTGAGCTAAGTTTCACTTTACTTCTGGTATAAAAACTACTTTTGTTGCCAGTAGCACAGATCTGCAAGTGTGAAAGGCGCAGTCAAACTAAGAACAATTCTTCTTGTCCTTATTCCAGTATATAATGGGAAGAAAGCAGTCAAATTTAGAAAAAAAAACAAATCACAAACCAGTCAAACTTAGGGAAAAGCAAAACTGGCAGACAATAACTAAACCTCTAGTTCTATGTAAATAAAAGTACTCTGCATTCATGTGCTGTTCCTAGTGAGCCAGATTCACTGCAAGAGGCAATGAAGATATAACTGTCTGCCTAGGATTAAATTAGAGCTCTGAACAGCAGCGGGGTAATGACAGCTGGCTAATGACTGTGCTTTTGGACAGGACTGACCAATCATAAGTCATTATTTGTTTTTTCTTTCTACTAAACTCCTATGTTCTTAATGTGAGTTTACCCTGGTTAAAACATGAAATTGGCATAAGTCAGGCTTGGGAAATTATGCTCATGAAACATAAGAAAAAAGTGGGGTTTTTGTGTGGTTTTTTTTTTTTTTTCCCTCCTGTTTTCTTTAACTTGCAATGAAAAGTATATGGAAAGAAAATGTTTCCAGGAAAAGTCTTCCTTAGGTGGAATGCTATCCTGAGTTTCAGTCTTAATCCGATTTTGGGAATTAGTTCTATTTTCTACATTCTGTGTTTGGTCTGGAACTCATACTCTTCCTTATTTAATGAAAAAGATTCTCCAGTACAAGCAGCTTTATAATTGTCTTAATTCAGTTATGAATATATTTGTGAAAAGTATTTCAGGAATAATAAGCTCCTCAAAAGACATAAATGCCCTCCCTTTTCAAAATTTTCCTCTCCATTTTTTTTTTTCTGTTACATTTTCCACCACCCAATGACGGTTCAGTTCAAAGAAAGAGTATTCTGACCACTGAGAATGTTTTGCTTAGAATCAGAAAGAATAACTAGGCATTACTTTCTTGTAAAGTATCCAGAGCTCAGATAAACATGAAAATGAAAAATACGAGCACATCTTTTCTATCATATTATTGGCAATCACAGCTGGCAGCAACTTCAGAAATGTTTTCAGTAGTTTGTTCAGTTTAGCATTAAATACTAAATCACAGCTTGGGTTTGTTGTTTTTTTTTTTTTTGAGAAAAACAAAATACATTTAAAAATACTGAATTTGAATATGCTAGAAGACAGCATACAGGAGAAGGACAGCACTTTTTTTTTTTTGCCACCAAATGGTCACAAAGCAAAAAAGCCCATTCTACAGGGTTTTAGGATCCGACAAATTAGTAGAAAAACAGGCAGCAAAAAATTTTACCAGTTATGTCTGAGACTGTGGCTCAGAAAGTCTATAAACCAGCTACTAGCTATAGTTTAAAAAAGTATACTAGGTGAGAACTCTGCTCCTGAGCTTTGAGGAAAAAAATTCCAACTAAATAAATGTTTGGTGTGCCTAAATGACAGTTCTTATGTCATATATTGAATATTATATATTGAAGTTGCATCAGAGGAAGTTCAGAATGGACATTAGGAAAAGGTTTTTCACTGAGGAGGTGGCTGGTCACTGGAACAGACTCCCCAGAGAAGTGATCACAGCACCAAGCCTGTCAGAGTTCAAGGAGCATCTGGACAATGCTCTTTAGTCATATGGTTTAGTTTTAGATAGTCTTGCAAGGAGCAGGGAGTGGGACTGATGATCCTTATGGGTCCCTTCCAACCTGAGATAGTCTATGATTCTTATATATTGATGAATGAATAGGTTTCATTTTTTCACTGTAAGAAATACTGTAATTCCTTTTTGCTCATAGGCACACACATCTTTACAAAGCATATATATAATTTAATGAGCTGAGGTCTACTCAAAACAGTGGAAATAAATACACTGCATTGAGTGGAGATTTAACAAGCCCTTATCAACACAGACTGACAAAGTTTTAATGCAGTGGCATGAGAAATAAAATGTCTTTACAATCTCTGAAAATTAAAAAATGCAATTGAACTTTGAGATCATGAAAACACCATTCAACTAAGACTGCACAACTTCAGAAAGACTGAATGTAACTATGACTACTTACAATTGAAATATAAGATTAGAAAAAGTTACAAACCCAAGACATCCTAACTACCCTCCCTCCCTATTTATCTAAATGGGACTTATCGAAATGATAATCTCAGTGATATAAGTAAATTGCAAACTACTATTGCAAGTGGAAAATGTTTGTGATATGTGTTGTCTATTTTGCCTGTGCTTGAGTGCATAATTAATTGGAAAGAGAGGGGGGTACTGCTCCTTTGGAAAGAATTTGACTGCCTCATTTTCAGTTAGCACCAACATTTCACCCTCTCTGAAATCTTTAGAAATTATGTGTCCCTGACATTAGATAGGGAACAAATACTTCTGAGTGTGTGGCCCACCAACTGCTTTACAGAAATGGGCCATAAAAGGCTGAGAAAATAAAGGTGCAAAGGAGATGTTATTACAACCTTCTCAATAATAAAACTCTTTCTCAGAGTTGAAAGCACGGACTCAACATTTTTCTATGTGAGTGGCACTTGGCAGTGACAGTTCAGTGAGATAATGGGTCTGCAAATACAAAGCAAAGAATCATTTTAGCTTGTGATGTTACAGCTAGGAGATCCCCCCCTGTTCCTAGCCAGTGCAGACAATGTACAAAGATTTCTGTAAAAGAGCTTCAACAGCTCTTTTCATTTTCTGTTGGTTTTGGGTTTTTTTTTTTCCTTTATCTTGACTTTCCTAGATGTGGCATCCTTATCACAGAATCTTTCAATATTAGAGTACAATGAAAATGAAATTCATGCTGAATTTGGATGACTTCCAAAACAGCAACTAAAAATATTTACATGCCTCTTTTCTGCTTCTAAAATTACATATAAACTCTAAGATATGGCTGCAGGTTTTTTAAATGATGTTTAAAGAAAAGGATGTCATTTTCTGCATTTGTCATTTATGCTGGTCTGTCTATGACTACACTTTTGGTAGTAACACAACAAAAAGGCTCTCTACATGATTACAGGGCTAGTAGTTCTCATTACTGGATAATAGGACCATTTACAGATCTTGTGACAAACCCTATTCTTGAAAGGGCTTATGTGCCCAAACCCCAGCAGGAAAGATGAAATTTCCTGGATACGTGAGAGAGGAGACACCTGCACATTCTGTAGTCATGTACAGACACAGGGAAAGTGACATCTCATCAGACAATTCAAACCTTAAAGCCTTAATCTGTTTGGGATTCACAAATTACACATCTGTTGCACAAATTACATAGCTTACTCCATACAGTCTGATCCAGTAGATGCAGCAAGACCTCATGCATACTGACAATACGGACATCAGAGCTCAGCACTTTTATCTCTTAAAACCTGGCCCACGGGGACATCATCTCTCTTCAGAGGAAATCTGGGGCTGTAGATCTATGAGTTCTGAAACTTGGAGTCTAAAAAGCTGTATCTTCCCCATGTCAGACTACGTGGACTTGGACTTCATGCTGATGCCCTGCCACTGTTTGGAAAGGACTGCAAGTATTGACAGTGTCAGAAGAAAAGGAAAGACAACCTTATAGTCCAGGAAGCACTTGGGAGGAAGAGACCTTGGTTCTAGCTGAGTAACCAGGATCATGTATTTCATTCACTGACTTCCAAGTGCAAAATGACCCCCTCCTCCTATCCAGTCACCTAGACATAAAAATCAGGCTCTCATTTGGTGACTACTTCTTTGTCTTCATGGCTTCTGAATTTGTAATTGCGAAATATCTCATCATACAGGATAAGAAAAGTTTAGAAGCCTCATCTTGAGTGCTTGAATTTTCAGTCTACTGAAAATCTGCCTCTACCTCTACCTCACCTTCTGGCTGTGATTTAAATGAAGAAAGTGAGGCAGTCGTCAGGAGGAAAATGAATGGCTTAGGCTTGTAAATGCAAGTACTGCATGGGGCAAATGTCAAAATCATTCATGCACTTACCATTCAAATGTCTTTGGGAATTTTATAGTGGATCTCACTACAGCATTTCAGAATTCAGAATACAGTTAAGGTCCAAATATACTACGAGGACTGTGAAATAGCCAGATCACAGAACAAGTATCTAGCTGGAAGAGCAATTCATAAAAATAAACCTGAATTTGAACCACTGCATAAGATACAGTAATTCAGGCACATTTCTGGTAGCCAGATGGGTTATTTCTCTGTGTGTTTTTTTCTTACATAGCTTTAATTATGTGAAGCCCTCAAAGATAACAATTATCAAAAATATTTGCATAGATAAATAAAACTAAAATAAATGCGTGTCAAACCATCCTTTGGGAAAGCTCAAGCTTCAGAGGTGTCACTGTTTGTCTATTTTCTCATCACAAACACGACTAGACATTTCTAACAAAATCCATCACCCAGCTGCATGACGAATGAATGCTGGCAGAGCTGTATTGCCCTAATGAACAGAAGCATAAATTTGCTTGAAACATCTAAATTCTGATCATAATCATCATCTTTTATATATGCAGCCAGTTTTGAATTACTAATGACAATCAGTATCATGCTGTAACATTGACTTATATTGGTATTTGTGTCCTAAGCACAGAGAAATGCTTTGCAGTCAGTATTGCCTTAATATCTCCAGAAGGAATTAAAAACGACTGTCGCCCCTATTTATAAACTTAGGATGGGTGTATCAGTAGACATAAAACCCAACAAATCAAACACCCACCACTCATATTAAAAATGAAGTTGCACAGTCACATTTCAATTGTCTAGCAAGTTTGAGACAAATTCAAGCTTAACACCTTGCCCCCCGATTTCAGATTACCTTGGATACTCTGTTCGCAACCTCTCTTCCTACTGTCAGTCCCTGAACAAAGGTCCGTGCAGCAATGAACGCTCTAGTCACTTGAACCTTTAGCTTCCTGGGTACATCTCCAAATGGCTTCAGCTGGTCTGTGTACTTGCTTACACACTCCAAGTAGTCCTCAGTGAAATGGTACTGGGGGTTTATGAGCTGGAACATCCGCTCCAGCAGCCGAGCCCAGAAATCATTCAGCATTTCCTCCAAGTTCACATTGCCTCCTGTGTAATACCGCTTCAGTTCCGTGAAAAGGTCCTGGAACACCTCTGAGTTCTGCATGTACAGCATGCCATATGTCCGGACAAACATGTCATTTAAGGATCTTTCTGCATTCTCCAGAAGTTCTCGGAAAAATTCTGCAGGGGAAACAAGCAAGTGTTAATGGATATAGCAGTAAGCTACAAAGGGGTTTTTGATTGCATTCTTGTGGCCATTAGTAAAGTTTGTCTACACACAGCACTTTGCTACCACAGCACTTTACTAGTGAAATGCTTCTATTTGGACAGGAAAAAGCTTAATTTAGATGTAAAGAAAAATAGATTATAACCTGAATTCCCCAAGCAGAAATATGCAGAACCTGTAACAGTGAACATGAAAAACCCATATAAAAGAACTTCAGGGAAGGTAGTTCCACTTCTTCTTCATGGACTTTTTGAATGTGGCGATCTCTATCCCTTGCAATATCCTCCATAGGCATTATACTACATCATCTAAGCTAAAAGTGAAGTCACTAATATGATGATTTAACTGAAAATTTAAGGATTTCAGACTAGCTAGATAATGAGAAGTTCAATTTTTCTGAAGTTTTTACATTATAGGACAATATACAATTGAAATAAATCTGAAAACTTATTTGCAAATAATCTTGAAGAGAATTTGAAAGAGACCTGAGTGGTAATGAACAGGATCCCTCTTAAAAGGATTATGTGTCTAGGCAATACTAAGAAATTGTTAGTATTTTCAATAATTTGCTACTCTGCTGAAGAGCAGTACTAGAACCCTCCATTAGTCATGTCACAGCCAGCCTTCTAATTCCAGTTTGTGCTAGTTGCTGGTTTTTGAACAGCAGACCTTAAAATTTTTTGAAAGGATATCAGACTTTACTGTTTCTGTGCCTTTTATCTGCTGAGGCCAAAACTATAACCTATTTCTGAATTTCAGCTTGTGGATTTTATTCACACTGGAAACCAAGCCCATGAGATACAGTGGAAATATGTTATCATCTCTTCTGTTAAGATCCTTGAACAGCCATATGGTGCTTAGGTTTTCCCAAGAAATTAACTGAACATGTACAGTAGTTCTTTAAACACATCTGCTAAGAGTTGGCACAGATTATCCTGGTTTTTAGAAGACCCCACCTTCCGCTTGTCAACCTTCTTAAACCTCTTTTGGGAGAAAGTTCATTGACTGCTACAGCCTGCAAATGGGGCATTGCAGACAGCAAGGCAGAGATGGCAACATCTTTGGCAAAACATGTATATTTGCTGCAATTAAATGATTCACACTGATGCAGAAGTCATCTCCACAGACAACTCTGGGATACCAGATTCTAAATATGTGGTCATTGCCCACAGACACATCTGTGTGTGCTAACTGCAGGGACGTGCTTACTTCTTACAGTCTTGGCTAATGCTATAATGTGAATACTCTTTAAAAAATAGGGCCCTGCTGTGGCTGCAGTGACTCATAAAAATGAAAAAACACTGCAATGCTAAAGACATGATGGCGACTAAGACAGTGTAAGAAAAAATCTACACTAAATTTGAAGATTTGCAACTGTGAACAGCTGAAAGCAGAACCCACTGAACAGTATGGACCAGTCTACAAGGACTCAGTAAGAAAAGAGCCTATCTTTTTGGCAGAAATCGTGCAGAGCTTCAGTCTTTGATCTCCCAGATAACTGCAAAGGGTTTATCATGCAAATGTAGATACAGAACATTGAGAATGTACTCACTACATCAAAGCATTTATTAAAGGCAAAATATATTCTAATAAATGTATCAATGTCTAAACTCTCCTTAAAACCATAGTTCTTCACAGGCAACAAATTCCAGCTGGAAAAGAATATGCTTTTGCCAAATATTTTATATAAGGAGAAGCAGAAAAACCCCCCAAACACCACCACCCCAAAATCACCACAACAAAACACACAATGAAAAAGAAACCCATGCTATTCTTTGTTGCCAAACAGAATAACCTGAGGTACACAACACAGTCTTTTCTGCTGTTTTTCCAAATTATCCACTAGTTATAACAAAGCTATTTAAGAGAAAAGCAAAACAAAGCTGTTTTTCACGCTAACCCTGACCTGGTGTTATCCTTGATGTCTGAACCATCCTGATACTATTTTATATATTCAGCATTTCTTGGTCTAAGAAATAATGTACACTGGCTGTACTGCTGAATACATATAGCTCTCTAGTCACACAATCTGAAAGGCAAAAAGATGGCAGAGAACTTGAGGCTTGAATTAAAATTTATTTAAAGTTTAAGCCAGTCTTTTGGAACAGTGCAACTGAATGACAACTGGGAAAGACGATCACAAAAAAGCAAATCCAGGACCCTCATTTTCTCTTCCATAATTCCCTGTATGCTAGGGGGCTGCTGTTAAGCAATTCACATGCTGGATCCTCCCAATCCATAGCTATACTGGGAATCCCACTATTTATCTTATAAAATGATGCCACTGCATAAGTCAGTCACAGCAAGGCATAACTGAGCTTGCTGACAGATGCTCTTTTCTGAGATTGTTAGCCTACTATTTCTTTGTGCGGGGATATCATTTAGCAATCTCATAGTCAGTTTGCTGGAAGCCAATCAAACTTTTCAGGGAGGGGTAGATACTTAATCTGTGCTTTACAGCATGTAACATAATGTGGTCATGCTGGTTGCAATCTTTATTTATACTGCGATACAAACATTATCAGTAACTTCACAAGCTTAAAATTTCATGCTAGTCCAAATGTGACACCATACATATACATTCTGTAGGAAAGCTAATACCCTCTAAATAGCATTACATTTATTCAATTTTTAGTCTTCTCATAGGTCTCTAGTCTTTTGAGAGCTATTGCTTAGAGTGAGTTATGATGCCATTAAAAAGTTAGACTGTTAGTCGTCTACAAGCTTTGATACAAAAGATAGTTTAAGAGAGTTATCTGCATCAGTAACACTATGCAGAGTCAGGATAATAATGAAGCAACAACTACAAAATCGAATAACTCTTTAGTTCCAGAAAGAAAGAGATCTCCTATTGTACTAATTAGAAAAATTCTCAATCAACTCCTGTCCAGCAAAACAAATGCTGCTCTGAAGAATTATTTGCTTTTTTAATCCTCCATACATCAAGATGGATATCTGATTTGCATCTTTTTATGTAATCTTATGTACAGAAACTGTGTCCTGGTATAACTGGGCACTTGTCCAGTTAGATCAGGAGAAACTGTACTAGCTTCTCCAAAGGCTGAATTTTCCCATGGTCTTCACAGTAATGCAAAGATTTTATGTTCATTGCAAAGATGATATTTTATCAACTTGCAGGTAGCTTTTGAAAAACAATGTAATATTTCAGCTCAAAGTAAAAGAATGAAGATGAGATAGACATTAGTCATCTTGCTTAATGTGCTTCTGGAAGGCACTCAAGTACTAGGGTGGGAGAGGAGAATCTATATAAGACAGAGCTGCACAGTGTTTTAAAATATATATCTTGTGATTTTTTTTTGCTGCCAAAAGAGGCTGTCATGAGAAGTATTAACTCTGGAAATAACTCTTCCTAATTTTAAGTGGTGATTCATTTATATGACAGAATATGTCCTGGCTACATCTTATGTTGCAAACACTTTTTTCTACAGTTCTCATCTATTACCCAGATGGTCTGAGGAAGCCCCTTCCATTCTGCTTATGAAGTAGCTAGAAAAGATAAGTTCTAAAGCACACTGAACTACTGAAAAGACGGAGAGAAGATTGCTATTTCAAACCATTACATGCTCTATATAGGCTTAAATGGTAGGTTGCCAGTCAACGGATAACACTTGGGCTAGCTTTCATTTTTAAATATTATTTGTAAATTAAGGATGAAAGATAGATAATAACAGACTCTGCAAATGAAGTCTGAATTGCTTTAAAATGTTTTGTCTGTGATAAGACAACTCAGTTACAAAGTGAAAGGACACAATGCATTACTAGATTTTTTTACTGAATGGTAGGTACTGCTCTTAGATTAAAAGCAGTGTCTTGCCAGCTCTCACACTACCTTCTCAACTGAAAGCTGATTTCTTCACTCCATTTTAGCATAGGTAATCTAGTGTCATTATGCAATTCAACCTAGGAGCTAGCCCAATTCCAAAGTGATGACTAGTTGCCATAAGTCAGTGCATCAGGATTGGGCTAATATCAGAGTATGACATGATGTAATACCTACCTTCAACAAAATATATTCACAACCATCTACTGGCAATTATTAGATTAAAAAAAGTTGTGCTATGTTGAAGTTGATGTTCCATCATCATTTCTAGCATGATAAATTCCCCTGCATTTTCTTTTCCATCTGTAATTTAAGCAAAACCAACACCTGACTGTAAGACAAGCCAGAAAAAGTTTGTTGTACAATTCCCAAAACAAAAAAGATATGCATGAGCTTTAAGACCATAAAGACCCAAAGGAAATTTCATTTAATTATCATATAGTCTGCTCAGCTTTCTTTTTTAGCAGAACTTGACATCTGAATGCCATACTATGGAGCATCTGATATACCGGACAAGCAGTCTGAATCCTATCTGAAAAAAACCAGCACAGCTGCACAGAGCACTTTAGAGGCTGTGGACAGAGATATATGTCTGATCTTAGATCAGCCTTATCAGCCTTTCTGGAAAAGATTGATCAGGGTGGCATACTGATTTAATCCATCATTGACTAACACCACCCAAAACATACAGGCAATACCCTATTACAGCCTTGTTCTCCTGCTTGTGGGCATTGATTTGCAAAGAGCTTTGAGAATTTAGATGTATAAAATCTATTGATCTACCATTTATTGTGAAGATTTGCATGCATCTACACCCTATGTGGGCTTTAGTTACCTAAATTAATGTCATGTCTTTGAACTTCCCAGTCCTGATAAGGCTGATGGTAAGAAGGATATTAGAATTCAGGTAAGCTGACTTTTTAGACAGGTTCTTTGGGGGTTCTTTAGGTACAGGTACTTACATTCATGACATACATCAATCATAGTTTTGTTGGCTTTGGGTTGGTGTGGGTTTTTTCACTGCCCTGTTTCTGCTTTTCTTTGTTTATAAAGTCATTCATGAAAAAAAATATTTGTGAACTTTCATCTTTTTGCAGGATCCTTGCAAAGGCA